TCAGATTTGAGCTGGATTGACCACGATTCCTCTGGATCTTCATTTGGTTTGGCGGCTCAGTGGACTGAGAGCTGCCGGAGCCCTTCTTCGTATTCCACACTGGCACCTGAATGCATCATGTAACCTGCTCAGAGGAAAGCAGTAACACAGAGTTCACCACTAGGGAGGGTTTGGTTTGTTTCAGCCTCTTGTGTCTGCAGAGAAACCGAGTTCTGAATCTATTTGTATTGTTGCATGGGGAGAAAATGGTCAGTTTTTTTTTTTCTCCAGAATGTTCCAATTCTTCTATTTGATGAAAACACCCACCCATTCCCAGTTGCACATGGGATGGTTGGAACTGGGGATGCAACACAACTGGGGATGGGAATGCTGTAGTCCTGCAGGCTGAAACAAACAGAACCATTCCTTTGTGGACTAGAGAGAGCAGGCCTTCAGAGCCCATGTCTGGATTTTTATTTTCTAGTAGTTTTATTTTCTTGTTAATTTTTAATTCTTCATATGTTTTTGTAATATACATGTCTGTCATCATTGATCCGAATTAAAGCAGTTTTCTTACAGACTATGAGCGTTTCGTTACGTCTTCACTCTGAGTGCCTAACAGGCCTGTTGAGTCTGAATGTTTACTGGCATGCTGACCCTCATTAGCCTAAACATGACCCTGATATGTTCTGTGACAAAGTGTGAATGTGAAACTGTATCTAGTCCTGTAGTAACACTTGCAGGAAGCAGCCAGTAGGTGGCGTTGTGTTCCCAAAAGTGGTCATCAGGTCATTTCTGTTGAGTAGACATGATTGTTTTTGTTCTATTTAATAAATCAGTATCCATATTACGTTTGATTTTAGTGCTTCCTTTAATTGAAATAATTCAGAAGCCAACTTATTTCAGTAAAGAAATAAAATGTGAACAAATGTAAAATATAAGAGGTAGGTTTTCCATCACAATACCAATCAAAATTATTTCTCAATACCGAAATTTGGTCGCTGCTGAAGAAGTTGGCTCACAGTGCTGCATCTGAGCACATTATCAGAAAGCTAGTTGGAGGGAAAAAGTCTGGTAGAGGCAGAAAATGGTAGTCCCAAACGAACAGTGAGTCAAAGCTTATTGAAGTTTGGGACGGATTCATAAGGCGTGGCCTCACAAAGGTCTGCCTTGCTTCAAACTAGCAGCAGCAGCATTAAGCAAACACCTGGTGGAACTGCAACTCTACTGAGTTCAAAGAAACTCAAACAGTCCTAACCAACGTAAACAGCATGAAGCATAATGACATGGTGAAAGGGGGTGTCAGAATAGGAGCTTCTTAAAGAGACAAAAGACTAACTTCAATGCAAACTGCAATTATGTTATATCTCTGTCTCTCTAGCATTTTTATAACTGATATTGTGCTATAAAGTTTCACTTGTGGTTAAAATACAAATCACCAGCCCTTTAACTGAGTAAGAATTTAGTGAACTTTAAGTACAGCAGACAGTACTGTCTCTCCCTCAAAGTTGAAATCACTGATGTTAATTGCTAAACTTAAGATACAAATTTATGTTTTATCTCCAGATAATAATATAGCAATAATGCATTTACTCGACTTAGCAAAAATTAAAATAATCCTTTTAACCTTCATGCGATGACTTTGGTTTTTTTCTATCAGTTTGCTTTTCTGTGACACTTTATCTAAAAGTGGCCTCAGGCTCTGTAACAAACACCTGACTGTTCAAACAGGTCAAAGGTCAGGAAAAATGTGTACGTTAAACTTTGTCACTCTTTGAGAAAGAAACCACAGGAAGTTGCTTTTCTTTGTTTTTTAGAAAAAAAAAAAACTTTATACATCATGCAGTTGGTACATCGTCTGAAGACTTTGAAAACACAGACATCGTTATCACACAAAGACCTTTCCAGAAAAAAAAATTAAAAACACACACACACGTCTCCATCCTCTCCTAAAAGCAGAGTACAGCTTCCTCAGATGTTCAAACTAATATTTACAAACTGATACTTGAAGCTGCCTGAGTTAACATTAACAACCAGCCACAATAAAACTGAATAAAACAATGAAGGCAATCATAAAAACAAAAAAAGACAAATAGGAGATAACGTTGTTCCTAAAAAAAAAAAGAAAAGAGGCTACCCTTCAGGATTGAAATCTTTGCATTATGTATGTCAGCTACAAATAAAAAAGACGAACATTTATTGGTAAAACTAAGCAATAAATATTAGATAATGACGATGATGTTCCTTTACAACTGGAGATAAATATGCAGCCAGCAGGCCTGGAGGCACAGAGTGGGCAGGACAGTTGAGACTGTCATGGAAACAACTTCCTGTTGGGACGCTCGGGCCGACCACAGAATCAAACTTCCAAATCTAATGAACATTAATCATTTTGTTCCTTTATGCTTCCGTTCAGTCATTAAAGCTGGAATAATTTTAGAAGTTACATGAGAGACAATCTCTGGAGAAAAAAAATAAATAAATCTATCTCAGTCTTCTCCCAGTGCCAAACAAAAACAACTGAACAGAGAAATTAGCCGGGACTTAGCGCTGTCAATCATGCGTGCAACTCTCCCATCACCCCATTCTCTACCACACTTCAATGCCAGCAGAGGCTGTCCTCAACACTAAGGCTAGATAGCATACCCACCAATGATGGTGGATAAACAGTTTTCATGCCATTTCTCTGACATTAGCACATAAAGCAGAACATTCACAAGTTTAACTGACAGCCCTAAGCCCCTCCTCCCGGCTCTGATTGGCTGTTTTTGGTCAGGAGCGAAGCATTTCTTCAGTTGCCAGTAGCAGCTCAGGGAGGAGATGGAGAAGATCTTTTCTCAGATGATCTGACTCATACTAATTTTAACAAATATGTAAAAAACTTAAAAAAAAAAAAAGTTTGATTCTGCAGCTTTAGTTTGAGAGCAGCTTGAGTCTCTCATATCTGCTGATCAGGCTTCCCTTCCTCAATTTCATCCCTTTTGAATCCACTTCACACAAGCTGTCCCAATAATACTGATGTGAATCATTCTGAAAACATACACAACGCGACTCCTGATTGAATAACACTAATAGCACACATGGTCTGTTTACTGAGCTGAGCCGGACTGAAGGCGCTGCAGCCTTCAACATCTGACTGGTTCATGGAAGCTGAGCAAACAGCGGCCAACATGAGGCGAGCTGGAAACATCCGGACCGGTCTGAACCGGCTGCCGGGGCGCGCACCCATCCCCCCATCTGAGAACGGAATCGGTCCGTTTTCCCCATGATACTCCGAGATTAATGATCAAATATTGAAAATGCACTGATGAGGTCCGAATGAGTGGAATATGTGTAAAAATACAACCTGATTTTGGGAGTTAAGCGACTGAAAAAAGATAAATATCTATTATTATTGTTATGACGACACATTGTAGATAGAAGAGAGAGAGAGAAAGGGGAAATAAATTTACTAGTGAAAATTGGAATTTCTTAGATCAGAATTTTCAACTTGTCAAACTCAGAAATTCCCAAGTTCCTTTCTAGAAAATTTGTGAGATTAATCTCAAAATTAATCTCACAATTTTTTTGCAGAAATTCTCTTTTTTTTTAACTATACCTACAATATCCTTAATATACCATCATATATTGGTGACGGCAAAAAAAAGGTCAAAACTCAAAAATGTTTTTAGATAAATAATGGAAAGAACAATTTATAATCTGAGCAGTCTAGAGGACAGTTTTTGAAAACTACTGGTCAGAAAATGTCTGAATTATGTCCAAAATGTCAGACCTAGTTTTGTGGAGCTACGTAATTTCACCTTTATTTTATTTAGGTTTTTTTCCCCCGATTGACATTGCAGTGCGTTTATTTGTGACACAAAAATCAAAAATTAATAAATTAAAAATGAAAACAAAACCTGATTTTGATGCATATCTGTAACTGGAATCTGTCAAAAATAGAGGAAGCAAAGGAAACAGGGAATGGTGATGGGTAGGAAAAGCCTGATCCGAGGCTCTCTAACATCCTCAGCAGAAATACAAGCTGGGATCATAAACGTCATCCTTCCTCGTCTGCTTGAGCCTTTAAAATCTGATCTGCCGTTTTCATTTTTATTTTTCTTGCAGCAGGCGTGGAAGTGAAACCGAAAATACCGGAATCACTTTTGGCTTCCTCCGTCAGAGAGAGGACAGCGAACGCAACGCTACAAGACAGGTGGGAACGTAAAAGTGAAATAACCGTTTCCATAGCGACCTGATGGTACAGTACCTGGGTCGTGTTCTGACTGTGTGACCTGTCGGATCACATTTTGTTTTTGTGCCCTTTAAAGTTGAAGCGGCCACAGTGGAGCGTCCAGATTCCTGATGCACCTGAACGCCTCACCTGGACCCTGCTGACGCGCTCCCTTTGCCACTCTCAGCTTGCCTCAAAAAACTCATTGACCTTTTCACAACAGGGGTGTCCAAACTTTTGCCCTCCGGGAGCCAAAACTGGCAAACTTAAACATTCAATTGGAAATGGAAAAACTTCTTTGTATCTTCGGTTTTACTAGCAAACACATTTTTAAAAAAAATTGTATATTATTAAAAGATCCAAAACATTAAAAGGGCTTTGGACTTCTGCTTTATTCAAAGTAAAACAAATAACTTCCAGATTTTTCCATGTTTTCCATCCAATCGATCTATGATTTTTTTTTTTTCATTTTCAATTATCAAGAAATCATAAATTTTCACCATTTGGCCAAACAGAAGCATTTCAAAGACAACAAATGTCCCCCGGCCTCATATTGGACACCCCTGTTTCACAAGTATCAGTACCAACTGTCACGTCTCGCAAGAAGCTCTCCTTCTACATAGTTTCTGTAATATGTTAACTTACTATATTAGCGTTTATATTCATCACTTTTGCTTTACATCTCTTAGATTTAGCTTTTTTAAAATAAAAAAAAAAACTTAAAAAAAATGTTTTAATCCTCCTCTTTGCCTTTGTGTTTCCATATAAATAGAGGTTAGAAATGTTTCATAGTGAACTACAGAAAAACTTTCCTAAAAACCAATCAATCAGACCAATCCCAACGCCCGGTTAGCGTTGCTCAGAGCAACTTCTCTGATTTAGTCAGAACTCCTCTAACGGAGACGTTTACAATCAGATTTGACAAAGACAAGCAACAAATCCTCCAGTTCGACGCGCTGGAACCGGAAAAGGCTCGCCTAGAAAAAGGCCACTTCATGTAGAAAAGAGTTCAACAAACAGCTGACAATCAGTAGAAAACTTTAAGAAAAGCTAACGCTAAAATGCTAGCCATTCCGTGGTTCCAGCTGGATTTCTTGATGTGCTTCGTCAGATGTGACAGCATTACGGTTTAAACTGAGGTGCAGATATTCTTTTTAAAAACGAGCGGGCTGCTTGGTCTTTATGGTTACGGCTGGAGGCCGCTTCCTGACAGGTTGCTCTCTGTTGTGGGAAAGGCACTGCGCTGCGCGGCGCGGCGCGGGGCGGGGCGGCGGGCCTCTGGCTCTTTGGCGTTGTGTTTCTCTTGTGTTGTCATGTGAAGCTGGTGGGCGGGGCCATGGAGGCGGGAGGTCAGCGGCGGGTGCTACGTGTGGTGGACCTCGTGGAACATCAGCTCGCGGGGGATGGGCGTCTCGGCACCGTGTATCGTGGAGGCGCGGCGCTCGAACGCCGACACCATCTGCTTCACCACCTCATCGAAGAAGACGTTGGCGAGCTGGGAGTGGAGGAGGGAGCGGAACTCGAAGGAGATCTGGACAGGAGGCAGGCTTCAAGTTAGCAAACACTTCTGACAACATGTGCTCTCAGGCAAACTGCATTGTCACACACACTAGCTGCGCTTCCATTTGGCCATAAAGTTCCACAATTTGACATTTTGAAAATAAATCTGCTTAATGGAAACATGTCAATTTCAGAAAAAAAAAATCTGTGCTTGGATGAAGTTGCAGTTTTTGGCTGCATTAAAATTGGTTTATTTTTCTAAAACTGTAACGGAAACATTTCCTTTTGTATCACGAGTTTCCCTGTCCCAATAAATAATAAGTCAATTGCATAATATATTAAAACGAGCTCAATTTTAATTTGAATGATTTATCATTTTTCTATTTTGTCTCTTTCTGACAAAAACTAGAAGACAAAAGTCTTCATTCTGGTTCTCTGGTCTCTCTTTTTGAAAAAGTTTTGTTTAGACTTCATGATTCATTTTACTTGATTTGTCGTTTCTGTTGTTTTGTTTGTTTATGTTGGATGTTCTAAAAGGTCTTCCAGTTCCACTGTTAAATGTTCTTTAGAATTCAATGTTTATTGATCTATCAGAATGCGTTTCATTATTATGAAATTAAAATTATGTTACTTAAAAATGGTCTCAAAACAACAATATTATTGCTTATTGCAATAACTACTGGAGCAATTTATAGCCCAGCAAATTCTGTTATGGTGTTATCTGGTTCACAAATCACATGATCAACAGCAGACACTGAAGAAGACAACAGGAAGTAGTTTGATGATGGCGCCTCATGTTTTTTTAATAACTCATCACGTCAACAAACTTATTCACCTGTGATATTCATTGCACTTCTGATTTCACCGAAACAGTCTGAAATTGTCTATGAAATTGTCTTTAGTCAACTTTAGCGTAATATTGACATAATATTGCACATTTTTAATGGAAAAGCAGCTAATGTCTCTATGGCTACATTCACACAGCAACTCTTGTTGCTCAATTACGATGTTTAGCTAAAATGCCATCAGTTTTTTTGCTTGGTCATCTAAAGTACTAAGTAAACCCAAACTCCAAAAGACTTTAGCGTGAATGGTTCACTTTACTCACAGCGAAATCCACGGTGCAGGTCCGAGGGTAGCCAGGGAGGCCCGGGCTGAAGCGCCACACCGTTTCCAGGTGGTTGAACAGCTTCCCGTCTGAACAGGACGCCTAAGGACACACCACATAAACCCATTTAGGTGGCTTCAAACTTCCACGGACAGAGTGACACCTCATTCACTTAGTTATAATCTGAAACCTTCTGGTATCTTTGCCCCAAAAATCTGACCTTTCATCTAATATTTCCTCCAGTTGTCTGTTCAGGGAGGGACGTGTGGCTGTTTGGAGCAGCTGGTTCTACACTTTGTTCTGACCTCAACACTCCTGGGCTCACAAATCACAGAGCAACCTGAACCGTGCTGCTCAGTCAGGCTCAGAGGAACACCATGTCCTTTGGTGGTTTACAGCTTTTAGTCTCTTGATTTGTTTTCCCTCCAAAGTCAATCAGCATAAAAATAGTTAGGTTGGGTTAATTTTCCAGTTAATCTCAGAGTTATGTTTAAATGTAGAAAACAAATCCCACGGTAGTCCCCACATGTTCTCCAGAAATATGTAAATGAAAGTCCTGAGTCCAAACCGATTCATCTTTAGTTCTTAACTAATTATTTCAATTTGAACTGGTTTTATTTCCTAAGAAATGCTCCACTTGTGCATTTTGACCATTATCTGATTGAGCACAAACCAAAGTACATTTGTTTTTGGAACAATAATAATTTTGATTTATTTAATAAAATAGTTAAAAAAAAACAAAGTGTTATCTGATTGGCTGATCACAGGAAAATCTGGTCGATTCCAACCTGTGTCCAAAACTCTGACTCTGTGTGGCTTGGCCCTCAGGTTAGATTGTTAGCATAGTTTTAGCCTGAGAATTTCAGTGACAAACTGAATTCTTGTTTAATGCAAAGTATTCGTCTCTTAATAGCTGTATTTTTAAATTAATTTAAATTTTATAAAGTAGAGCTGCAAACATCCGGCAACTTTTCGCATGCAAAAAAGAAAAAATGCTGGTTCTATTCTGTTAAGTCTAGTTCACAGAAGAAGCATGTTTTGAAAAGAAAGTTATCCTTTTAGTTGCCATGATTGGACAAAGATTTATTTTCTAGACCAAACAAACAGGAGGAGATGCACAATGTTAGGAAACTGTTATTAGGGCAAAAAAGCTGATACTTTGTTTTATGAAAATATTGCATATCTAATTTATTTCTTAGCTTTTAAAAACAAACTATAAGAATGATTTTTGCATTTAAGTTGGAAAAACAATTTGCCTCCTGAGTTCTTTCTGGTCCACGTTGAAAAAACGTTTGGACCCTGTGCTCTGCAGCTGGAATCAAAACCCATTAATAACCGGCGGCTTATGAAAATGAACCAATGGGAAGTTTAAATAAAACTGAAAAATGAAATGGAAATATCCCGATTGGTTACAGAAGCTCCATGAAGTGTTTTTGTTCTTACAGGAATGAAAGGGATATTAACCCTCAGCTTTGTTATCAATTGCTGGGTAGAAACTGTTTATTCAGCAAAAAAAAAACCCAAAAAACAATGAAGGAACTTCCAGTTCTCAGTTACAGCTAATCATCAGCTCTGCTTTGACTATTCCTTTTCCCTCCCAATCTTTCCCCTTGATGAGAGTGGAACAGATCTGAAGTGGTTGTGTCAGGATCACAGAGAGGGTCATGAAATGAACACAAGCTGTTCATCAAAAACTCAAGGATTCAGGAGCTTCTCAGTATTAGAAACCTTAACAACCCTCTCCTAATGTCAAGCAGGTTGTTCAGGTTGTGAATTTCCACCTTATCTGCTCTGAGGGATGAGAAGAGCTTCATTCTTTCAATTTAAAATTCTTTCAGACTTTGTTGATAAATGAGAACCTTAGCCTAAGGCTGGGCACCGTTTTCAATAAAAACATGGCTCCTCTCAACAACAAGTTTAAAAAAACTACTTCTGACTTGTGAGGTTTTTAAAAATGCTCCAACAGGGTGACGTTGCAGGTTTCCCCAAAACATTCAAACCTCAGAGTCATCCTGACAGAGGCAGATCAAGTCTGAGCACGAGTGGAACGGGTTTGTTTTCTATAGAAACGGATGTGTGAGGTTCCACAGAGGCAGGGAGGGAAACAGATCAAAAACTCTGTTTAAAGTTCACCCATAATGGCAAACTTCTCCATTACTGATCTGTTTTTTTCAGCCCTGCCTTTATCCTCCCAAAATGATCAAAAGCCAACATCAACTACAAACCATATCGAACTGTGGAAACATCTGCTTTTTGAATAACTATATAGTCACTTTTTCTTATGCTGTAAATGTGTTTACTGTACATTCTGTCATTGATACTTCTGTTTTTAGATTTTTTTTCCTGAATTTCCCCACTGAGAGAAAACAAAGGTTATTTCTGTTCTGTTCTATTATTGGTATCGGTGCTGAAATCCCTCTGAAAAGTTGAACGCTGAATATTAAACACACTTTTGATGTGGAACAGTTTGGGAACTTCACGCAGCAAGTTGTAGCAGTTTTCTGACAAATGCCTGCCTCAAATGTTCCCATCATTACATTTTCCTGCTTTTTTCCTTTAAAAATGTACATTTCTCACATTGTGAAAAAAAATTATAAAATATCTGAAGTCATTGCACACATTCATGTACATGCTCAAAAATAGGGCAGCATGATGTTAGAAATATTGCAATATTTGCTTGCTTTCTTCTCTCCAGTCTGTGCTTCCTACTACATGTGACCGTTAGCATGTCATTTCTATCACGTGAAAACTGTTGCTAACAACACTAGACTTTGTCCTACTATCTAAATATTGCACTAGAATGAAAAAAACTTCAGATGTCACAAGCTATGTTAGCCAACAATTATTTCTCTCCCATCCTTTGCGATATAAATATTTTGCACAATGATATTGTGATAACGATACTTGCAGTATACTGTAAACCCAGACTCAAAACTGATCCACTGCATAAGTTGTCATACCACTGGAAGTTTCCATGCTGTTTGTTGGCCAATATTCTCAATAAGCCTCAGAGAACAGCTGGATTTATATTGAGGTAAAAGTAGATGTAGAGTAAATATAAAACATACTGGCAACCTGTGTCATTTTCCTATGACTTCATATTTTTGTGTTAATTTATAACAAGAAAAGTCTCTAACGTACATCCAGGTGAATGAAAGGATGTAAATACTTTAACAAAGCACTGGATTTGGGCTATTTATGCTTGTGCGTTACCTTGACCAGGTGGGGTCGCACCGTCGTGATTAGGGAGGTGTAGTTCTCCACCACAGGGGGGAAGCCCACCATCAGCTTGGCCTTACAGAACCCGGAGCGCCTGAACACAACATCCGACTTCTTACACCAGGGAACGAAGTGGCGGTAGTTTTCCACCTCCGCCACAACGTCATAGATTTCCTGCATGGAATACCTGCAGAACAGGGAGGGGAGTAAAGGTCAGTGGCTGGGTCATGTTACGCAACACCCAACAGGATGGGACGATGCAGGACCCATGACTGAGGCAAGAGAGGAGCGTGGAAGCCAGTTGGGGGTAAAAAAAAAGAAAAATAAACAAATTAAGATCAGACGTGGTGATTGTGAAGCTCTGGAATAGAACTAGGACGTGCTGAGTGTTGGACACACAGAGACAATGTCCAGCTCCAGCTGGGAGGGAAATAGCTGGCACCTTCTGGTGTCCATTTATACCTGCAGATTTAGTGATTATGACCTCTGTGTGGAATACTTAGTGCGTCACTCATACATGTGGACAGACAGGCATTCCGGGTACTTAAAGTACGAAAGTTTGACCTGCAAAGGACGGCAATGACAGGGCAATACAGCTCTGGACAGGGCAGAAACAATTAATAAGATTAAATCTGATTAATTGATTATTGAAATAATTGTCAAATGATTAACTGAAGGACACAGACTCTAAAAATGGTCCTTTGCTGAAAGAACAAAACAGTCAGAGCATCAAAGACTAAATACATTTTACATTTAAGATGCAAAAAAAAAAAAGGAACCAGACAACTTCTTTGTCTGTAAATCTGTTCTACCCAGAAGTCTCTAAGTGGCCGTTTTAGCTTCACCTGGTTCAAAGCATTTTAAAAATTCTCTTCAGTACTTTTTGGTGGTTAATCCAAAAAATAATAATCAACAGTTCAGCGCTGCACTGTAAGACTACAATTAGCAGTTCAAATTCTGTAGACTTATTTAACCACTCAAGCCTTTTTATAACAAGACACTATTTCACAATAAACTGTTTTGCCTGAGGTCCAATAAGAGTATTTCATCAGCATATGTTTGATTATTTGTATCAAACAATTATTCTCCTTAGATGAAGGCTTTTCTTCTTAAAGGTAAAATTGTGTATTTCTTTGGACAGTTTTGGATTAATTGTGACTTTGCTGTTCTTTCAGAAAATGGCCTTTGTTATGCTGTAATTTCATTATTAAACGATTACTATATTAACTGTTGATTTTTTCAATAACTGACTTATCATGATTAATGTGATTAATTGTTTCAGCCCTGGAATGTACTGCAGATAAGTCAAACATTCACATTGATGTCAAAAGTACTGACAGACGCTGCAGATGCATTCTTTGCTACAAATAATCAAACATTTACTAGAGAAATGCTTTGTTGTTGCATTTTTGGCAATAAAAAATATTTTGCTGTTTAAAAAAGGAATTGTATCATTTGCTTCTAGTATTGTCAATAATATACAAAATAGACTTAAATAAAAGATCTGCAGAATGTGCAAAATCTTCTATCCGATTATTGATCAGAATCAAAGGAATAATTGATTTCTGAAACAATCATTAATTCATATTTCAGCTCCATCGTCAGTAAGGGGGAGTTTTCTATCCCTTTCCTTCCTGGGCCTCACACTGATCTCGCCGAGAAGAGTTTCATTTTGTTGCAGATTGAGACACAAAGACGGGATTGTGTTCTTTGTTTTCTGTGACAGTGTGAAACCAAACCTAATCTGCTCCATATGAATTGGCAGTGTGTCTGCTGGTGTTATTCTGAGGAAGCAACGTCTGGAGAACGATTCATTCCATAAAATGCTGCTTTCACCAAAAAAGGATGTACAACTGACCTCAAAAACAAAAAAAACCACATTGCTGCCCCTTTAAGCGAGACCAGAACACAACACTGAGGCTCCCGCTGAGATCTGAATTTATCCCGCTCATCAAAAGCCATAAAGAGCCTGTGGACATTCCTGCACTAAAGTTTCTGCTTACTGTGAGCTGATATTGTTTTTCAGGTTTTTCTCCACAATCTGCGTTTCAGTGAGTTGAAAAGTGCATGTAGAGTATCACTTCACAATTGATTTAGAACCCTGTAGAATTTTGTTTCTACATCATAATTTTAACAGCTGAATTGGGTTTTTGGAAGAGAGAGAGGAGATTGGTTGCCTCCCTCCAGCCTGCTGACAGGCAGTGCACAGCTGAAAATGATAGAGAAGCAACAGATGCTACTTCTCAGTACCAGAACCTGAACCAGAAAGCAGGCGTGATGCGGCTGCTAATGATGACTTCTAATGTTATGGTAAAGTTTGGTCCTATTAAAGTTGCATGGAAATTTTAGTGGAAAAAAAAACTGACATATTTGATGAAACTGTCACTATGTCCAAACAGTTTAATCTCAAACAGATAATCTGTAAAAATATTGATCTCCCCTACCTCCTTCTACATCATCCTGAAACTTTGATAAAGTTTCAAAATTATTTCAAAATTTCAAAACTTACTACAGTATTAAATCAGGCTTGTCTGTAGCTGATCTGACTGCAGAAAATAAGATCTTTCAACAGAGTAGCAAACCACCAGCTGGTAAATGGCGCCAACATACCCAATGATGCGTCTCTCCGAGTACTCCTTTCTCTTGGAGAAGGAGTCGGTGAGGTTGAAGAAGCTGCGTGCCGGCAGGACGACGGGCCGACCGGACATGGCTCCGCCTAGCAGAGAAGGCACACGCGTCATCAGGATGCCACATGACGACAGGTATCTGGTTGACAAACAGATAGAGGGACAGAAGGTGAGGCTGGCAGACTAAGAGACGCTTTCAATTTGGAAACCTCGTTCGATTTGTCTTTGACACACCCCCAGATCAATCAGATAGAGTCAGCAGAAACTAGACTCCAGACCAGAGCTTATCGAGGAGCACCTCTCCATGTCCATTAACCATAACACTGCACAACTTGAAAATGCAAAAATACATTAGCTTAATGCATTCACGCCAATTTCTGGAAAAAAAATTAAAATCCTAAAGTTTTGTGCACTAAGTTGATGTGTTATTTCTGAAGTATCAAAATATTTACATATTTCACAGAACTGCAATGGAAACACTTTCTTTACTTCACACAAGTCATGTGATGAACAGACAGACGTCACTACTGGCAGAAACGTCAAAGAAGACGATAAGAAGTTGTAGGAGGATGATGGTTTGGTTTTACTTTTCAGACGACAATTTCCCCAAAACTCTGTACATGCAGCTACGCCAACATCTCAATACCACGTCTTCTCTGACAGATGATGAGCGCTAGCGCCATGACTAAATTATGAGCTGCCATAATTTTGAATGTCTTATCGCGTGAACAAGTTCATGCATGTTTAATTTTCATTTCATTCCTTATTTAATGGAAACGCCGCAATTGCAAAAATTGTGGTTTTTTTTTTTTTTTTTTTTCAAAATAGACAAATATTTGCGCACATTTGTAATGGAAACGTTCTCTGCCATGGAAGAGAGCAGATGTTTTATTCTCTAAAGTCAGTCTAACTGAGGAATAAAGAGTGCAGTGTGTCGACTTTACGTCAGAGTTTGCGGACTTTGATATGGTGATGTCGACAAATAACAGACTTCAATAGGGATCAGTTCTAGGAACAAAGTGATCACATGAAGCCATTTCTAGGACCGTCTGCCATCCGATTCAAGCCGACATTTTTCCAATTCTGCCACTGATGCTAGATCATTGAGAGCTCAGGTTTAAATCACAGAGATGTGCTGGAAAGCTGTTGCACCTGGTCCAAATCAGAAAGGCAATCTGAATTCAGGAAGAGGCCTTCAACCACTGTGTGCGGACACAGGATTCACCCAGAAAGGAGATTGAAACTAAGATGAACCAATCAGATTGGTTCGTGTCTGATGTGCCAGACACTTAAATTTTCCAGTTTTTCTATGACTGGCAATGATTAGTCATCATCAGCTCAAAATAATAATAATTTAAGAAATCAGTTTTCCCTCATATTGACTTGCCAGTTCTTATTTGAGGTTTTTGCATTTTAACAATACCCATTTCTGCTTTACCTGCAATTAAGAACATACATTTTGAAAGATCACAGTTTACATATCACACAGGCTGTTATATTTATTGCCAGTTGCTTAAGTTTACAAAGCAATGTAACTTTCTGAATTCAATGTGGTGACCAGAATGGAAAATGTTTATCTTGTTCTACTGCTCAATATGCAGGAGTTTATTCTCGCTCTTTATCAATGCATCAAAACTAAAATTATGTATTTTTCTCTTTTCTTAAAGGTGTTATAAATACTACAATATATATATAAGTTTAATTATATGTCATAAGTTTAATACTGAGGCACAAATGATGACAAACTTACTCTAAATACAAATAGAGAATTATTACACACCCCTGTGAAGTCCCAGCATTTGCATGCTGGGCTGTAACTATAAATCAGCAGGAACTCTGGTTTCACTCTGGTTTCTGGTTTCTAGGAAGCTGATGCACTTTCAGAAATAAACCTCCGACAGGACAGGAAGTGAATGCATCACAGGGAGAAGTTTCCCCACTGACCGTCACCTTTCTCTAAAGTGTCATTAGTTTCTTGTGTTGCCATACACAAGAAACTAATGACAGGCAACTACAGAGTCATGTGGAAAAAATGAGGACACCCCTATCGGAGTGTGTTTTGGTTCAAACATTTTTGGACATATGGATATTTATTTTCACTTTCTAAAAGGAAATTGAAATCTTACTGCATGATAATCAGAGTAAAAAATACCAGTTATCAAACACAAATGTTATAAAACTTCCTCTGCTTTTATCTAAAATAAACAAGCAGCACTGACTATATTGCTGACTACACTTCTAACACTGAAATGTCAAGCGAATGTTCTGAGCTCTCTCACTTAGAAACGTTTACTTCTGACCTGTCAGAAAATACATTTTTCCAGATGACAAATTTTCCCAGAACTTATTGCGATAAACAATAATATGGTAATGAGACAATGTTCAAGTAATATAATAGTAACAATGGAATAACAATGTGACAACACATTCTCAAAGACCAATAAACTTTAAATTCTGATGAACATTTAAACACTGAAACTAGAAGACATTTTAAATATCCAAAATAAAACAGAAACAACAAATAAAATTAATTCTGAAGTCTCTATTAACAAAATTGTCAAAAAGGGATATTTGAGACCAAAGCAGCAGAATGAAGACTAGTTTTGGTAGAAAGAGAGAGAAAAAAGAAAAACAATAAATCAAGCAAATGAAAATTGAGTTTGCCATGAATCAATTAAATGATTTATTGTTTATTGTGACAGGCCAGATCTGACTGATCTGTGTTCTCAATGACAGTAAATATACACGTTATTACACAGTAACTGCAAGGTAATGCAATAAGTGTTTTTTTTATATATATGTATAAACATTAGGTGGTGTTGCTTTATTCTACTGCAGCAGATCTTCAAATAAAGCTGTTTCATTAGATTTGTCCTTGTCTAGTTGAAGGATTTAACATCCAGGCGGATGTAGAAACGCTCTGAAATCCAACAAGGCCAAGGTCACACACTTTACCCTGAGCTTTATGAGACATGCATGACCATGCAGCCAAACTTTTCCAGTCAGTAAAATGTCAATTCCTAATCATTTTATTGTTTTAAACCAGCAAAGCCCAGTTTTACAGTGACTGCTCTCTCACACAAATGTTTAGAAATGTTCTCTTCTAATATGTTTGTTTTATAGGTGTGGCAATTTAGAAACACAAATGTAAAGCTAAAATCATGTATTTATAATAATAGTAATACATTTTATTTGCACTGCACTGTTCTAAAAACTCTACAGGAATCAAGCAAAATTAAAAACAGACACTACATCCAACTAAATCTTAAAATAAAAAAAATAAAAATATACTTAAATACACACAGTAAAAACAAACGACAAGAATGTAAAAGGTACCTTAAAAGTGTTCTGAAAAGATGTGTTTTTGACTTTGATTTTTGATTAAATCAATTTAAACTGCAAAAAAAAAAATCTATGGAAAGTGCTGAAATGTGAAACTAATTAATTAACAAATGACTGATCAGTTATCACAACTGGAGTTTCTGCTCCAGAGCTCTTGGGATCAAGTGAACAGGTCTGACTCAGATCCATCCTGACGGCATGAATGAGGACTCTGTTAATCCTCAGGGGGAACACGCTGACTTGTAACCTACACTGCAGCCCTGAGCTTGCACCTTAAATGGGTTCCTGCAACCGAGACGGCGGGGTCATGCGGGGCTGCTGCCTGGGATTGGCTGCTGCTCAGGGATGGGGCTAGCTGCTTTCATTGGTTCGACGTGCCTGGCAGTCGACCCAATAGCTGCTCCACATTTTCCCTGGCACCAGATGTTTCCCTGCCCCATGGAGGTGGGGGGTTTCTGCAAGACTCTCTATTACAGTGTATTACATCATAATACATCAATGATGACTACAATTTTATCAGAATGGTGCAAACGACATCAGGAAAATATGTCAATATAGATTTTAGCCTAATTTCAAGAGTAGAAAAAAAAGAAAATATAATAGAATTCAAAATATTTTCTGACCTTCCTGTAGTGAATAGTCACTTATTACTGAAATTAAGAGTGATGCTGTGTTTGTTAAAGAACTATTCATCATAAAGCAAAGTTATACTGTTGTAGACAAAAACAAAATGATCAGGAGACATTTCAAACTGACTTTAGCGTCTTTCATCAGCAGTTAGCCTTGCTAGTGTTAAGCCTGTCACAATAAGCAATAAATCACAATAATCATTCATATCTTTTTCTGCTAATTTATTTCATTTATAGAAACTAATAAGCTATAATATAAGATATTTATGGTTTAGGTTTTGTATGGTTTGCATTTTCTTTTTATTTATTTAAAACACTGTTTTATTTTGGATATTTAAAATATCTTCCAGCTCCATGACCAAATAAATACCACACAACCAAGCCCCTTTGCCATCAGAAACAGAAACATTTGTTAATACTGGCCCAGATTTATTTATCAGATGAATGCTGATGTGGTAAAAACTGACTAACATCGGCAGACATCGATGTCAATGCTGATATATTGTGCAACACTGGCACAGAGACTTTTAAAACACAGAGAAATGGGCACAGAATGAACACATTCTGTGCCCATTCTGTGCCCATGAACACACGGGGGAAAATGAGACTTAAACACTGAAAAAGTCACAGGAATGAAAAACATACAAATACTCCAACTAAAATCACACTGTAATCCAAAACCACAGCAACCTCATATCCTCAAGGCTTTACATATTAAGAAGATAATCTGTGGCATTAGGTTCTATAGAGCTACACCTCTGCACATACCTCTTACATAATAGCTTTAAAAAAAATAAATAGATATCCAATTATAACTTTATGAGCTGACATAACATTATGTCACCAATAGATGTTCGTCATGAAGTGTCATTTGGACCACCTGTTCCTAATGCAGACCTTCAAGAGGAGCCAGTTCACCAGTACCTGGAACATGAGACATCTGACCTGCGTGTTCTGACCTCACACAGGCTTACCACAAAAGAATTGACTGGCCGTAATGAGCAATCAACTCAACAGGCAGCAGAAACTGGGCCCAAACTTCAAAACAAAGGGTGTTTACTCTCGAGTTGAACCTGGGAGATGTGGACACTGCAAACTGTGATGTCAACACATTGTCTATCCTCGGAAAAGCACCCACAGCACAGGAAGCATGTATTCATACTAATCTACACCATTAAAATGTATCCGCTTTACTATTTATGTGCGGTTATATTTCTTTAAAATGATACTTTTACATAGCTTTTATGGGACATAAAGAAATACTTCCAAACGTCTTGGAACTAATGAAGGGAAAGCTCCGGTTTAGTACACTGTTTAGAAACTGTTACAAATATCAGCAAACTGATTAACTATACTAGTCCTTGTTTTCCAGGGTTACAAGACATTAACTTAAAAACTGATATTTTTACACAGCATAGTTGTGGTTTTTACTATAAAAAGGAAGCTAAAATCATACCTATATCATCAGAGACTTATAAGGGAATCTGTAATAACTGTGAGAATATACTGCTTGAATTAGTGTCTATTAAAGACAGGAATCCACGTCGTTGATGACACTACATTCTAAACCATGTCGAGATTTAAATCGCATCCGAGGGCAGGTGACTTTATCAATATGTTGGTGTCATTAATAGGGGCATTAATGAATTCCTGATGATTGAGGCTGAAATAGTAATCACAGTATCGGTGTTTTTCTTGACTTAGTTTGGTTTCAGTTTTGAACAGAAACAAAGTGGCAGTGGGCAAATTTTGTGCGAGAAGCAGCAAGTTAAAGTGCATCACATTATGACACATACGGGATCTACTGGACTAAATGTAGCTCATAGCCACAGTGCTAGTGACTGACTGGAATATTTGTGTACCCCAGCCCAAATCGGCTTTCCCCCTAGTAACGCCCCTGACGTTTAAGTCTTTGAAAAAAAACAATTATCTTATCAGACAGAAGATTAACTTTAATAAATAGTGCAATTACTTAAATTCTGGCACATTTAGCTATCAATAAACCAAGCTTTTTGTCCCCCAACGTGAACTGAGTAAGTTCGCTCGGCTCTGGTTGCTGCCTGCGTGTGCTGGGAGCCGTGGGTGTTTCTCCCCAAAACCCCCCGGGTTTAGTCGACAGCAAACAGGCTACTTCTTTACCTGACATTATTCCTGGCCTGGATTTCCCGGCTCGCTGTGTTCGGTAACTGCTTCAGGTACTCTGCTACTTTCCGTAAGCTCCGGCCGCCTCTCGCCATCTTCTTTCTTTGACGGTTTCTTCTTTCGCCTGCTGCGACAAGTTCACAGGCATACAGCGGTGGTATGCTAGCTGCGTTGACGTTACCTTCCTTCATCTTTGCTATTGGTCGATCCGTATCCACTGAACGCTTTCATTGGTCGGTCAGCCCACTCGTTGGATGAGAGTAGTGACGTTTGAGCACGCGCCCAAGCGCGTACCCGAGAGTCACGAGATGCTGGCTCCGGTTTCACCGTCTTCTCACGCAGGTTCAAGCAGGTTCACTGTTTTCAGTTAAAACGCGCGCATATGCAACTTTCTTAAGCCTAAAAACTGTTCCCACCTTCATATCCACTTTCCATATGTTGGCTTTATATTAGTACTACTGACGCATAAACTTTAAATTGAATTCAATTGAAAAATACTTAATTTATCCTAAAGCAGGGACATAAATTTCTGTTGTAACTCATATTATTTCATGTCCTTCTCAGCCATCAATATCTACATTGTAGATATTGATGGCTGTGGGCAGGAAGTATCTCCTGTAGTGGTTTGCATTACAGCGAATTTGAAGGAACCCTTGCAAATGCTTGAAATTATACTAAAGTATAGTATCCAGAAATTTCACTCAAGTAAGATTAGTGATACTTTATTATAATATTACTCAAGTAAAATTAAAAAGTACAGTGTAGTAAAACTATTCCTATAAGTACATTTTTTTCAAAAAAGTTACTCAAGTAAATGTAACTGAGTAAATGTAACTAGTTATTATCCACCTCTGGATGTCATCAGTGCATGCAGATAAATTTATATAAATAACATATATAAAATGATAAGATATTTTGATGGAGAACTAACATCCTGTTTTTCTTTCTTTTTTATAAATTCTGTAATTCATTATGAAGTGCTGGAGATAAATGTTGTCACAATAGCACAGTGCAAAAAGCTTCCCTTTACTGTAAGCACACACACTGACACACAAAACTGCTGCTGATTTTAAGTAAGCTTTACACATGTGGCAACATAACTGTAAGCTCTTAGACACTCTGAACCTTTTTGCATTGCCACTGAAAATCAGAGGTTCAACTTTTAGAATGCGGTGAAGATCAAAGGATATTCATGTTAAAATGACCCAGTCAAAGTGTAGACCTAAGTCTGGTTGATAATCAGTGCTAAATACAAATATGCTCCCATTCTGCACTACTAGATTCCAATAAAATATACTAAAGTCTGTAGTTGTAAAGAGACGAAATGTGAAAAAGTTCAAGTTGTATGGATGCATCTCAAGGCACTGTTTACATAATGAAATTCTAGCTCAGATATTAAAGTTCAAAATAATGAGAGGGTTTGCTGTTTGTGTGATGAATTCATATAATACATTTGCTTGTTCTGCTGACCGTGTGTTAATCAGCAGTGCATTTCTACTTGAACAAAAGCTGAATCAAACAACTTCAAACCCTGCGGGAGTCCAGCATGAACTTTGTTTCGCAAATCTTCAGTGAAATCCTGTTTGTTCTCTAGAACACGAGACCAGGGGTCAGCAACCTCAACAACTCTGAGAGCCATTGTACCTTTGGTCCAGTTAAACAAAGTGTATGCAGAGCAACAGCCGCACATGACTGTTCGAAATAAAATAGTTTGATTACAACATGTACTATATAAAATTTTAATAGATTTTTACATAAAATGACAAAATTTTTATTTGTTTAACATAAATTTTAATCCTAAAATAATGCCGTAATCCTTTTTTTGTTGTTGTTTGTTTTTTGCCATAAGTAATTCTTGGGCCAAAATCACTTTGAGCCAAAAATATCACACAGGCCATTATTTTAGGAAGGTGATGATATTCAAGCTGTTCTTTGATCCAAACAATCGAAATGTGATTTCACTGCAGAGGATGTCACATTTTTCTGTTTATTCTCTGACTTTAACAAACATATAACAGAAACGAAAGAAAAAAAACAACAAGAAAACAATTTGGTACTGTTTTTCTAAAAGTGTTTAGGACAACCCCTGGAATGGGGCAGATGGCACTTATGACATTGCATTTTTAATATCAAACCTATCCTATCAGAGCACCCCTCCTTGAACTCCTCCAATTAGCTCCTCTAGACTAGCAACAACTAGTCTAGCAGTTAGCAAACTGCCCCAACAATTAGCCCAGCAGACTCGCAGACAACTGCGAGTCTGCTGGGCTAATCAGACGAACTACTTCTTAGTCCAACACTCTTAAAAATGATGGCAAATGCATTATGGAAGGAATTGTCGTGATGATGTCGTAAAGAGCAGGAGCTTCTTAAAGAAACAGACCAATTTCAAGGCATCAAATTACGAAGTCACATGTTTTTTTCAATTATTTTCAATTACGTTTGACATTGTACAGCATTTTTATATCAGCAGGAAACATAGTTATTTAATGTGCTATAAAATGGCGCCATGTCCCTGGAAAATACTTCATTTCAACCTGTTAAAAGCTACAAATCCTTTTCCTGTCATTTTAAAATTGTGCAGTACTTTGCGTTGGTTTATTGCGTAAAATCTAAATAAAATAATTTAAACTAATTTACTGCTGTTTAAATAAATATGAAAAGGTTTTCAAATTTGGTTAAGATTTTTCTTTCTTGTTTGGTTTTGACTCGTAAATTATAACATTTCTGAAGTGATGTGGTAGTTAATCTGCAAATATGAGCGTGATAATAGAACATTTCGAAACAAAACATACGCTTCCAACCATGTAGTCTGGAGCTTTAAATTAAGGGCGTTTTATCTTTATAGCCTAGTACCCGTAAACATCAATGTACTGTTCCCCACAGGAAGGAGACGGAACTCAGAAACAACGCATTTCCGGTTTCAGTCTCGAGCCACCAACACCAAAATGGCGAAGATCGCCAAAACACACGAAGGTACGTTTCTACTGAAATATTACATATATCCAATATCTACGTGATGCTTTTTTAGTGAGTTTTGGAAATGAATGCAATACTATCAGTAATTCCGGTAGTTTTACGGGTTATCATTTCTAGTTTGACGTTTAAAAGAGGATAAGGAGCAGGCCTGTTACGACGCAACGCGGACGGATTTATATAATGGCGCTGGTTGCTAATGCTAGGAAGCTAGCTAGCTTAACCTGAGCAACCTTCTGGCGCTTCTATCTTGTACTCGTAAAGAAAGTATTTTTTTATTGGTTTATACGCTAGATTTAACTGTATATAGTAGTCACGCTACCTCATATGCGGTTATTTTGTTGTTTTTGCAGCTTTACTATTAATAGCCATTGTTTGTCATAATGAGGCCAAAGCTCTTAGCATGACCCCCATGTAACACAACACCAGAAGCCCAGACACGGACACGCAGTTCGAGTCCAGCTACTTTCAACTGACGCTGAAACTTTCTTAAATGAAGACAAAACTAAAATAATCAAATTAACTCATTAATCTTTGTCGAACTCGACCATTACAAAATAATTTTTTTTACCAGCACCCAACAGAGTTACTCGCGTTTACCTTGGTTATGATTAATATGAATTAGCCTACATTAAAAGTTGCGCATGTCAGTTGTTTCTTTTTCGCCTGTCACAAAGCACTTGTTTTATCTTCAAAGACTAATTACTAATGACATGCAATATTAAAAGTCACTGTCATTTCGTTTTGTTTCCATCGACATATTTTGACAATAAGGTAGTTGAGATTTCTTAAGATAATATTTTAACTCATAGTCAAATTGAAAGTTAGAAATGAGCATATTAAGAACTGTAGCTCGGGTTGAGCAAACAATGATGATTTGCATAGCTGTGTATGAGGGATAGTAAATGTATTGGACATTTAATGTTGGATATGAATATGTTGGGGTCAAGGGACATTTTAAAAAGTCATACTAACGTAAAGAAGACTATGCCAGGGGACTTTGTGAATGTAGATGTTACAGAGGCAGATCCTCTGTGAAAATGATGACAATTGCAGAATCAAAACCAAAGAAAGTTCACAACAGTTTAATACAAAAGGCTCCCTTGAGTGACTTGATGACCATTGTCTATTTAAAAACAAAAAGTAATATTTTATATAGTTGTTTGACACTTTTCAGCCTATTCAAAGAGTAATGAAAGAATGTATTAAAAACGAATAAAACATGACAGCTTTTTTTTTTTCTATTTTTGCATTGGTCTTGGTACTAAAGGCAAAACACACATTGATTTAAATATGTAAATTGCTGAGTGTGTTTTTGGGCATGTCTCTTTTCTTTTATTCAAACAGCCCTACTCCAGTTGACCCTGACACCACATTGGGATGTGCTATGACTTAAAAAAAATGCTCCTTTTTTTGTCTGGAATGTAGATATCGAGGCCCAGATCCTGGAGATCCAGGGGATGAAGGCCACCCTGCAGGAGGAGAATGGAGAGCAGGGCGTGGGTCTGGTCTCCACTGGCTTCTACGACCAGGAGATCTATGGCGGCAGCGACAGCCGCTTTGCTGGATATGTCACTTCAATCGCAGCCAATGAGCAGGAGGATGTAAGTATTAAGTGAAGTTCTGTTGCTTGGCGATTCGAGTCTTGTCCCAGGGAGCTTGAATGCCTCCCGCAAACGTGTGTGTTCTGTTTGCGAGCTAGGAGGATCTTGCCAGTTTGGCGAGATTTGACTAGACTCCTGTTTGTCCTTCCTTCCCCAGGACGATGAAGACGACACGTCCACTAGCCTACTGGGGCAGAAGAAACCTGGCTACCACGCGCCAGTGGCAATACTCAACTCCATCCCTCAGTCAGATGAGCAGGTATGTCCACATCTATGTCCCTTTTGTGGATTTATTTCCAGAATGATTGAGCATTAAAAGGAAAAACAATTTCACAATTTTTTTTTGTGCTGCAGTACGACCCGTTCGCAGAACATCGTCCGCAGAAGATCGCCGATCGGGAGGACGAATACAAAGCCCGCCGCAGACATATGATCATCTCGCCCGAGCGTCTCGACCCTTTTGCTGACGGTAAATTTTTGTCGTTTTTCTTTCCATCACATCAAACACACCCTGTCTTTTCATTCCCCTCCCCACTGCTCAAATTAGTGAATTTCCCCCTTCTTGAACATCAGTAGCTTAGCTTTACTGTTCAACCCTTCGACCACATTGCACTACCTTGCTTCCCAGACTC